ATATATAGATATATATATATAGATATATATATATAGATATATATATATAGATATATATATAGATATATATATAGATATAGATATATAGATATATATATAGAGTAATCCTATTTTGTTAACTCTTGGGTGAATTAAATATTCAACAAATGAAAACTGCAGAGTATTTCCTAATTGTATTAAGAACATTGGTGTAATTAGAGAAACCTAAATAAAGCTATACAGTAAGACGACCATTTTTACATGCACACAGATACAGAGTGATGAGATTAAGCCAAATGCTTAACTAGACTAGGGTATTTGAAATAAATGAATCAATGAAATAAACACTATTTATTGTAACCAACACTTGTGTTTCATGTGGACCGTTAAAACTTATTCTCTACCATTATTATGCAGACTACCCTGTCCTGAGCTACGTATATGCACCATTGCATTCTGGGTAACGTAGCTGAAAAGGTTGGAGAAGCTTGTGACTGGAAGGTTTCCAGTTGGAGTAGTTTGTCAATCGTATTGAAATGAGTGGTGATACAGAAACAAAACGGCAATCTTCAAATTATATTCCCTCAAAATATTTTTTGAGAAAGTATATGAGACTAAGCATATGGCTTGTTATCAATTGATGATGATGGAATTGTGTATCGCAATATAACAATATATACGATCTCATCATGGTATGATTCCATTGAAAGATGATTAATTATCAAATGGAATGATTGCCATGTATTGTGCAATGGATCAAACCTTTAGAGAACCATGCAACCAATTATCAATACTATATTGTACCACAATATATTTCATTCTAAATGTGGCCTGCATCACACATATCCATAACACAAAACCTATTCAACATGCAACTTTACGCAGCTTTATTGATGTGGGCTATCTTTGGAAAAAGTAAGGGAATGCTTCACTAATCCCAAATCCCAAACTACAGATGCTTAGTTACACAACTGCGAAGCAGAGCTTGAAATCAGGCAAACGCCATCTAAAGTCAAAACATCCAGCTACACTGAAGCCATCAATGCTGCTGTTAGTATACTTCCTACACCAGTTTAATAACCTATGTGTGTATTCGCACAGAAGGTTTTTGGGGGTGGCCAGTTTTAAAACGAGTGAAAGTCTTGCTGATATTTGCCAGTGAGCATTTCTTAGAGAGAGAATAGTGTAATACTTCTAAATCTCACCAAATACAACGGATGATGGCATGAACACCGGTACTGCATTACCCGTCGCATCTCAGAATGATGTGGTTTACCCACACCCAGATGTCTACCATCATTTAAAATTTCGGTATGGGTCTGTAGAGTATAATAACAAAAATAGTTAGCTACAATTTAAAACGTTATTCATCTGTCTTTGTATGTGGGAGATAAACCATAGCATAGTCAATTAACTAACGCTAGCTCAGTTAAAAGGTGGTGGTCGCCCGACACGTTGCCAGCAACTGGTACCGTTAGCAGCAGCTGGCTGCTGGCTTATCTGACCTAGCTTGTGTCAGATAACTTAATTTGCTAACGTTAGCTAGCATCTAGTCGTAGTTACAATGTCGGCTTACTGTGCTGAACACCATCACCTCGATGTAACGTACCCCGCCCAACTCAGCAAGACAATGTCAAAACAGCGAAACTCACGGCAGAAAACGGTCCTCGATACCGGTCTAGCGTTAGCTCAGGGCTAGCAGGCTAACTAGCTTTGGCTGCCAAATGTGGCTGAAGCGTAAAAAAAGGTTATATCGTGTACGCCATGTCTAAAGCTAAGGTCACTCAGCGACATGATACTCACAGGATGCCGGAGCAGGAGGTGCACACGAAGGAGCCCACGGTCATGTTGGCATAGGTTGGGCCGCGCTGGTCGCAGTCAAAGCACTTTCTGTTGGGAGGCAAACTCGTCATTTCTCTCAGCATCTTTAGGTGTTTCTCCTCTTGTTTTCGTTTAGCACTAGCCGCCATGGTTAAGTTTACACAGCAGGATTAATAAAACCTGGGGTTAGGCTGGAGGGTCCGCTAGAGTTTTAGCTTTTGTTAACGGTCGCCGGCCCGTGCGTAAGACAGAGAGGGAATGGGTAGGTGGCTCTGTTGTTAGGGGGGGGCTTGCGTCTCCTCGAACAAGGAGTTTGAGGCGTTGGATCGATAGACTAACGGAAGAAGATGGTTTCTACCGTCGACTTCCGCCTTCGCGTAAATCCCGTTATTCATACAACCGCTTCTTTTTGGTTCAGGGGTGTGTTTGCATTCACTGTGTCCTACGATGATTCTAACATATTTTTTAGAGTCTGGTTTGTTGAGTCACTTCTACTTTAGGAACCGTAATTTGTACCTAGTAGTCGCTCCGATGTTGTTTGTACTACATATTACTCATTTTTTACCGGCGTCAATGCCATTGTATTTATATTCCTGTGGTTGGTAGTTACTGTATATTACTTTATCGGTGGTTATCAGATAATAACTTTATTTCTATAGATAATTAAGTTATTTTGAAAACACAACAGTAAATTAAGAGCGCACGAGGTGGCTCGACCGAGGAATTACGAAGGTTAGAAAGGGACATGAACTATCTTGTCTCTTGAATGAGATCGCTTGGGGTTGTGGTAATGACAGACCACTACTAGTCTTTCTTTAAAACATGAGCGCCACCATGCGGATTAGCACTGTCACTGCAACACGATGGGGCACGGTCTAATAACAATGAGGGATATGGAATTGTGGTGGTGGGTTTCTTTCTAATGCTTACGTGCATGTAAAGACAGTGGACTTGTTAATGAAGAAAATCATGAAATAGTACAAAATGTCTCTTCTCTTCTGCTTAAAAGTATGAGTGCTGGTCAGGTTAGGCCTTTACAGAGACAATTTACCATTTTTTACACTCACTCTTAATTAAGGTCCATGTAGATGTGTAAAAGACACTTGCCATTAAACATTCAAAAAAGATGACTTATTTAAAAAATAATTGAAATTCTTCTTCAAATCCTTAAGCAAGAACCTACAGATTAAACTTAAGTAATGTATCACAATTAAATATCAAGTTTACATCCACCTTTCATAAGAGCACAAAGTCATGGTGTACACATAAGTATGACTTTTTATTACAGATGAAAAACATATAACAGAAGACCAAGTAAACCAAACAGCATTTATACAACCAGATATCAGGGTCATTGTATGTCATGGACTGCTGAATCTATAAGTTATTAGTCAAGGTAAGCTGTGGTCTTGAATGTTATCAAAATTATTTAAAATATATGATACAATTAAAACCTGGATCTTACATCATAGTCACATTATTAACGTGGACAATAAGGTTTATTTTGCTCTCCTTTGTCTGGGGGAACTGATTTTAATATACACAAAAGAAACAATCCTGATATGTGCAGTTACACTAATATCTAATAAGGTAGATGGCGACCTTATTTACGTTAACTTTCTCCCTACAATCCGTAGCAAGTCTGTAATCCACAAACACAAAGATGTGCTTTATCTCAAATGATCTCTTAAGTAGATTCGCGCTACTTTCCTGTCCAACTGACCCCTGAAATTATTTCCCACTGCTGTAGAAGTATTGACACTTCATTAATTGCTGCTGATTGATTGAATTAATGGCTGCTGATGCTGCTGTAGTGGAGAGAAGTCAAGGGGTCTGTGGTTCTCGGTGTAGCCGTAGAGTATCCGGAGGGCCACGCGAGCTGCTTCTTCCTCGGCTGCTACAAGTGTCTCTCCTGGACCCTGAGCCAGAAGCTTCTTGTCGCTGATTTAACACACGCAGACAAATACCAAAAAATAATTATACTATTCATATTATACACAAAACACTCTTAACCATCATGTGTAATATAGAAGTAACTTGATTTTTAGGACATGTAAGCTCTGACTGCAATCCTTTTTTAATTTTTTTTACAGTAAATCTTCAATTACTGTTATTTGGGCATCCACAGCAGCACACATACCTGTACAAGCCAACAAAGTATAGTGGCAGGACAGTACTGGCTCCAGCAGATCTGATGAGGCGAGGCTCTGGCAGTGGAACGCTCCTCTTAGTAAGCTCCTCCACCAACAGTCCCATGGGGTCGACAACTGTCCACATATCAAACAGGTCCTTCCCGATCAGCTGAGTGCCCAGGAAATCCTTTGGAGGGGGGGAGAAGAAAAAGAAGAGAAAATATGATACTGCTGTACAAGCAGCGTCAACTCAAAGAGTCTGAAGGACAAATTCTCGTCACTTTAAACAAAATATTGAGTCCCCATTACACTCGGCTGCAAGTCTCTTACCCTGAGGAACAATCCGGTTTTCTCTGCTCCACTGCTCTCCGTTAGAGCTCCAATTACTGCCATGAATGTTGAATGAAGCACATCATCTGGAACAGGACAGTCTGCACTCATGGTTAGGTCTTCAATGCCAAGATTTCTTGCTACATCGGTCACGACCGCTGAACTGGCGAGGTGCCTTACGACACTCTCCACCCCGTCTCTCGGCAGGATCGGGAAGCTGGCCCTGCACCAGTCGCTCAGGAAGCTTTTAGTGAAACTCACTCCCCTTTCACTGAGCTGAATATTATCTTTCAGAACGAGAGCGGTAATCTCAGAGTCCACGCCTAACCCCTGTCTCCTCCTTAGCTCCGCCTGCAGGTAACAGGGGTTGATGAAGGCTGTTTTCAGTAGCTCCAGGGAGAAGTTCTCGTGGAGGCGGCTGCTGAACGCCTGGACCTCAGCATGATAATCCCAGTGAGGCTTCTGAGAGCTGAAAGAAAGGCAAACATAAAGATTATTTTGAGTCCAGACTTCCTCTAAAAAGAAAGATTCCCAAAAATGGGTCTTACAACCTTGTTCTTACTTCTGGTGTGTGCTGTTGAGGATATCCAAATAATCCCTATGTATGTATAAGAGCTGACAGACATTCTTACTTACTGTACACTAGAATTAATAGTTTTAGTACCATCAGGAGAAAAGTGTCTGAGGATTACGGCTTAAACTCTTTTGTTTCAAATGGTGATAAATGAGAAACAGCACCTGTGCAAAGGAACCATGATTGACAGCTTAGCCACTGGGTTCACTTTAAAACTGTGGACATTGTTACTACACGCACACGGCTGAACAAGTCTGCATCGACAATACTAACTTTATTTATATAGCACCTTTAAAAACAGAGTTCACAAAGTGCTTTGACAGACAAAGCAGAAAAAAAGGCAATAATAACAGAAAGCTCAGTGAGACAGTTGGATATGTTAAAAATAAACTAATAAATAAATAAAATAAAATACACAAATAATAAAAACATATATATACACACACACACACACACACACACACACACACACACACACACATATACATATACATATATTTATTTATATACACACATACATACATACACATATTCATCCATATACACATACAGTTGCACTCAAAGCTTCAACCCCCACCGCAAATCAGGTCCATCCGCAAAATGTGTGTAGTGTAATTATGCTATCCTATATATCCAGCCTACTCGATTGGCTAAGATGAATACACACGTTGACCAATACAACCATTACATTAATGGCCTTGAGATGCTCTCTATTCCACTCTTGTGTTAGCATCGTTCACGGTTAGCCTCACCGTGGCTTCGGTGGTGGAGGTCCTTCAAGCTTTAACTTCTTGGCCATGAGGTACGTGTACGCTTTCATCCACCGCTTCTTCTCTCTAACCTGTGATAATGACACGGTTCTGCAAACACGCTGACAGTGAATTCCTAACGTTAGCACACCACGATTTAGTATGTATCCGGACGCCATGGTGGCTACTGGCAGCAGATGTGCAACAGCTTAAACTGTCCGACTCTCGACACGGAACATAAAACAACATCCGGCCAGCCAGACCGTTCCCATGTAACGGCCGAAGGCGCGTTACTATGGAAACAAACATAAACGTTTACTAACGTTAGGCAACACAGCGGACTTCCGAGTGGATTTTACGGGACTACACATCTAACAAATTAATAGAAAACATATACAGAACAGGTATATATTATTTATAATTATCCTGCCTGTCAATTTGACGACGTCCAGTCCTGAAGTCCAGGAAAAGATGGAAGATAAAGTGGTGACAGCGACTCTAATGGAATGTGGAAATGCCGAAATAACTTCCTCTGTCAAAGATGAAGTGGAGGCCGTGATAAAGGATGGAGCTCAAGAAAATAATAACAAAATACTGCAAAGCCCACTTCAAGAGGGAAGGGAAAAACAGTCCTGGCCACGAATGACCAAGAAGTTCCTTAAAGACAACTGTAAGCAGAATAACCTTTACTCAACACCTTCCCTGAATGACACACTGTACCTGCATTTCAAAGGTTTCTCCGCCATTGAGAACCTGGAGGAGTACACAGGACTGAAGTGTCTCTGGCTGGAAAGCAATGGGCTCCAACGCATTGAAAATCTGGATGCCCAGACTGATCTGCGCTGCTTGTTCCTTCAGCAGAACCTCATTTACAAGCTGGAAAACCTAGAACCTCTGAAAAAGCTCGCCACCCTAAATGTCTCCAACAACTACATACACATCATCGAGAACATCTCCTGCCTCCCTGACTTGAGCACTCTGCAGATCGCCCATAACAAGCTGGAGACTGTGGAAGATGTGGAACATCTGAGTCAGTGTCTGGCACTCAGTGCACTGGACATGTCTAACAATCTGTTGAAGTACCCGGAGATCCTGCTGGTACTTGAAGCCATGCCAGAGCTGCGCCTGCTGAATCTAATAGGAAATGAGGTGGTGAGACAAATCCCAAACTACAGGAAGACCATGATTGTGCGTCTCAAGCAGCTCACCTACCTGGACGATCGCCCCGTGTTCCCCAAAGACAGGGCGTGTGCAGAGGCATGGGCAGTGGGAGGGCTGGAAGCTGAGAGGAAAGAGAGGGAGCAATGGGAAACACAAGAGAGGAGGAAAATTCAGGACAGCTTGGATGCCATGGCAAAGATTCGGAAGACAGGCCAGGAGACACGGCACCTTCGAGAGCTACAGGAGACAGGTAAACACTTTTACTACCCTAGTGCACATACAATGTGGATTATTTTTAAATGGTAGCCTATAATCTGCTCTATTTCAGGGGCAACTGAGGCTTCCACCACTCCAGAGACTCCATGTGAGGAAAATGACACCCAGTTTCCGACTTCACCAAAAGGAGAGATGATCCAAGCCTTTGTGAAGGACTGCCTGGATGCCCACGAAGAGTTCTTGCACAGCCAGTCAACACAGGAACCCAACGGACATCAGCCAAACTGTGACAATCTAGAAGCAGAGCAGCTAGGTGATGGTTTCCAGGAGGATCAGTTAGAGAAGGATGACCAGGAGAAATCACAGGTAAAGCAGCCTGTGACAGAAGAGAAAGAGGTTGTGAATCCAGAGCACTCAGCACAAGAACAAGAAAGTACAGCGGGAAAGATGCTAGAGACAGAAAACACAGAAGATGACAAACAACAGGTTATTATAAATGAAGCGGTGAGAGAGCAGGCAAACATGAGCGAGCCCTTTGAAGAGAAACAGCCTCCTCTGCTCAGGGCAGGTCCTCCTGAAGCAGACGAGGTCGTAGCAGCACATGGTCCCGGACCTCTGGTCACAGAGCTGGAGGATGCAGACCAGCTGGAAACCATTCACCTTCCACCACATCGCTCACTGCGTATTGATGACCTACCTGATCTGGAGGATGTGGACACAGACAACTTCACAGCAATGTTCTCTTCTCAGCAAGTTTACAAACCTACAATCGAGGTCATATCAGGAGGCAGTGGTGAGGATGATACAATCGGGAATCAGAGCGAGGGCTTCCCACCCGTTGGTTCAGATAGAAATTCATCGTTTTTAATGAGCGGCTGCAACAAATCAACCGGGGTCTGCAGCAATTCTTCATCATTGGTGTATCCAGAAGATGGGGATACTCTTGAGCCACATATTTTTGAAACGGCGGGAAAGTTCAAACCAAAGCGCACGTCTTCTCCCCCCCGCTGCCTGATCGAGGAGCTTGAATGATGCTTTCAAGGTTTAGAGCATTTTTGACCAACTGAAGTGCCGAACTATAGTCTCACAGGACACGTGTTCAAATGAAGTGTCCAAATGCTGGCAGGCGATAGACCGGCTGTGTGAGACCATCAGCAGCCCAATCAGGGCACAGCAATAATTTAAAAAGAAATGATATTTAGCGGTTATTGTTTAGTGAAATGTTATTCATTGTCGAGCAAGTTTATGTTAAAGAATTTCAAAGCCATCTTGTTCATTTGGTTAATTGTAATGTGTGAAAACAGAATAAATCTTGAATGATCTGTTTTGTTTTATATTTTCATTGAGTGGCAATAATATCTTTATACCATATTAGTATAAGAGATGTTAAGGACTAGATTTAAATGATTTCTTAATCAATTGCACACTAGCTACACAGTGCATCTAAAGACATAAATCTACAGTATTAGTTTATGAAAAATGAAACATCAGCGTTCAGCAGAAATTATGATAAAAAATATATAACCCGTGAAAATAAAAACTGCCAAATGTGAGAGACACGGCCGTTCTTCAAGTAACAGCCAAACTATGCTGATGTTTACATTTCACCTCATGTATAAAAATAAATAAATCAGGGACCACATGTCATATGTATGATTTTAGTAAATTTTATTACATTTCCCAGTTCAAGTCACATATTATTCTTTCCCCAATAAATATTCAACATGTTGCATCTCCACACTGCAGCTCCATTTTCCCCATTTTGGTAAACTATGCTTTAATTTATGTCTGGATGGCGTCTATTCAAAACTCTGAGTGACACAGACAAATATTTACAACAAGTCATGCTTAGCGTTGAGCAAGAAGGTTTGTAATAAAAACAAAAAAAAATGACAAATGTGAGACAGGATGAAGTAAAGAGTAAAAAAATAAAACTTTACATGTATTAAATAAACCAAATCAAAACCATAAGCCCCGTGGTCAACCGGCCTTGTACACAAGTTACACGGTCTTCCTCCCACAGGGACTAAGTGCAGCGGTTAGCTAACATTTGACACAGAGTAAGGGAGAGTACGTTCTTCTGTCACGGTGACGGCAGAAACACAGGCCGGCTTTCAACGTCGCAACCACACCCAGGTGTTGACGAGCCAGAAGGCTACAGTGACCGAGTACAGGATCATCTCTCGCTTCGCTCGCTCCTTGTTCTCCTCTTCCAAATGCTGCAGTCTACGGTTCAATTTGATGAGCTGGAGATAAATAAAAAAAAAAATATGTTTCCTCAGTGACAGAGATTCCACAATTAGCTCTCTTGCAACAAAATGGAGATAGTGTATTTATTTAGCACTAACCTGACGTCGAAGCGTTGTTGCATCGACCACAGTCATGTCATCAGACCCCGCATCCAGTGTGGCTTCATATGTTGATAGTGCAAGCCTGGAAGAGAGAACAGTCAGTCTGAGAATCAATTCCACCACAAGAGAGTGTATTGTTTACATTAAGGGTTTTTAGATATATATTGCTAATTTGAATGGATTTTTCCACCAGGGCTTAATCTTGTTTCTTGACCTGGAAATGAGAATGAAAGGTAGGAAAGGATGGAGAGAAAAGGACAAAGGATCCGAATGAAGGTAGAGTGCCAGGTGAAGTTACCTGGAGTCATGCAGGGGGTTGGTGCTTGAGGCCGACCCCCCTCGCAGGGATGGTTTGCTATAGAGGTTGGGAAAGACAGGGTTGGGAGAAGGGAAAATAAGAGAGATAGAGCAACATAAACTGATGGCATACATGCACACACCTTCCATGTCCTTCGCAAAACTACACTGTTTTGAGTTGTCCTAGAAGCCAACAGGCTAATCCTTCTAAGTACAATGTCTTAATTGACACTTTCATCATCATTAACTTTCTTCCAAAATCAAATCTAAATTGACAATGGCAGACAAGGCCTAGTACAACTTCAACAAGGGGTTCAACTCCCATCGCTACTTCCACCTGACGGTACGTTCAATTCAGCTCCAAACTCTTTACATTTTGATTAATACATGCTGTATTAATATTGTTACTGAATGTTACAAATAGGCATGTAAGGCTTGAATCTACCTTACAAAACACTTCTGACCTTCCAACATAACTAAGGGCCAAAACAACATTTAGGAAACAACAACCCTTCCCGTATGAACAGGAGAAATTAAAGTTAATGAGACGTTGAGGAAGTCAAAACAACTGAAGCGGTCAGTATAGAGTGCTGCAGGGAGGACGTATTTTTGTAGGCCAACTAGGAAGTCAGAATTGCACTAGTTCCCTCGACAAAATGCCAATAGGATTTTTCCATTGGATTAATGGAGTGTAAAAACGCAAACTCATTTCCGGGTTTGAGGACTCATTCCTGCAGCACTCTCTTGCCCTCTCTGACCAAAATCTAGTAAGCCAAGTTTTTAATTCAGGCAAAAAAAAACGACCGGATGATTGAGAGGTCACCTGCGAGGGTTCTCGTCCAAGACCTCCAGGACCTGCTGGTAGGCCCGACGTGTAGTGGACTGGAGGAAAGATAAAACACCGCTAGCGCTGTACAGGCTGTGTTCTTCTTCAGTCACGGTGAGAGTGGGGCAAGGGTGGACAGACAAGGTCGCACTGCCCAATGCCCACCATTAAGAGCAGCCAATTCAGTGGACAAGGGAAGAACAAGACAACAGAGGAAAGGAAGGAAGGAAGGAGGAAGGAGAGGGAGAGGGAGAGAAATAAGGAAAAGAAACTGTCCTCAACTTTACTGACTTTGTAAAAAATTGCAACCGAGTGAAAGTAAGTAAAAGTAATGTTGCAATAATGGCATTTAACCTGCCAACCACTCACACAGTGAGACACGGTGCTTTACTAACATAGAACACACCAAACAAAAAACAGAAACAGAGATGAGAACGAAAGGTACTGAAAAGATAATGATCTCACTCAGGACCACCGTCTTGTTCTGGTGGTGACCTTATCAACAGTACCAGGACGTCACATGCATTTAGTGATGGGGACATGAAGTGTTTGGTTGGGGGGGCTGGAGCCAATCCCAGCTGACAATGGGCAAAGGCAGTGTACACCCTGGACAGGTCCCCAGACTATCGCAGGGCGCATAGTTTATACACTAAATATTAATATTTTCTACAATTTTCTAGTAATCCTGAAATAATTTAATACTTCAAAAAATTTGGAAATTATCAAATCAAAACTGATGAGTACGTAAATGTTTAAAGTCATGGTGTTAATGGATTAGTTCCAGTGACAAAAACAGCTGCTTTCAGTATTGACGCTGAAGGCTCCAAAGCTCTTGCAGCAGAACGGCTTACAGTGGTAGTGACAACAGACAACCAGCTATGTCACGAAGACAAAGGGACACAGGAAACATAGACCCAAAAGAAAGATGCAAGTGCATGCATGTAGAAGACAAGATGGAGCTGGTACCAAGCTAATGATGGCTTATCCAGACCAATACTCACGCAGAATCATTGCGCATCAGCTGACTGCTTTGACGGGCAGCTGCATTCTCACTGGCTGAACGTTCCCGGCGTACTCGTGTTTGGGGCCGCAACTACAAAAAAAAAAAAGACAACTGATTTATTCAGGTTATGGTTTAGTGTAAGGAAAGTCTTTGTATTTCATGCAGTGTCCTGGTAAAAGACTATTTATTGCCTCATCGCTCACCACTTCCTCACTGTCTGGAGCCGCCTGCTGCTCCTCTTCCAGGAAGTCCAGGGGCCGATCACTGAGGGTGAGGACTCTGGGTGGAGTCTTCAGTGATAGTATTTCTAGTGGTGTTGACTGGATTAGGTCCAGGTCCCTGGGTCTGGGGAACTGGGTGTCATTACTGTCTCCTGATAAAGGAAGGTGCGAGTTAGAGATTGATGCATTTTCTACTTCACTTGATTCAAACAATCTCCTGAGATTTGAATGCCGAGGTTGAATAATGACTTCTATCTTCACATGTGTTGTGCCTAAAGACTTTTAGTTTCATTTTAGGTCTTAAATATTTCACATGACAAAGTCCTGTCACTGATAGTCCAGCTCGTATCTGTCAACAGTCATATCAAAACCACATAATAGCTATATTACAGTCAGCTGGCAAGCACCAATGACGTACATAGTTTAAAAGTAATAAAAGACAAAAAACACAGCCCTACATTGACAGAATGCTTGCCAGCATACTGACCTAACATCACGATTCTCTCTGGGACTTGCATTATGACACTGTGGGGGACCTCCTGAGATCCAAGATTAGGGTCATCGCGGCCGTGAGGAGCCACTTTGAGCATCTCAGGGATACGCATCCTCTGGCTGATCCCTTCGGTGTAGTCCAGCTCATACTGGATACGGTTCATCTCCGCCATCTCTGCCATGGGGGAAGGGAATGCTGCCCCGTTCATTTTGCTGCGAGGAATGCTTTGTTCAGCAACACACATGCTAATTGTTCACCCCGAAAAAAGGTCACAAAGGGAAGACACCATGACAACATGCCAACAGGAGAGATCCATGTGTTGTTATTGTTTCAGACCGGTTTAACTCGTCATGCAGCATACCTGCTGGCAAATCCCATTAACCTACATTTACTAGATCACAAGACGAACATCTCTTAAATGATCTCCTCAGATAATATTGGTGCAGCTGATGAGCTGTGGGCAAGATTAAGAGCTGGAAATGTTCTCGTGACACTATCATATGATAACTTGGTGCCTTCTGACTTTGAACACGGACACAACGGGAGGCTAAAGGAACCAATTAGACAGCAGTCTTGACTGTAGTCAAATAATAGCTTCTACAGCTGCTGCACCCATTGAAGGATAACGTTATATAGTTTATTTAACATGAATGCTAACATAATGCTAATATCAACAACGGTGTATACTATTGTCTAATAGTGAAGCTGATACAGTAGCTAGTTATTTGATTAGGCAACCCCTTTAAAACATGAACCAATATTCACAGTAATTAGTAAACTGCTAATGTGTAGCTCTAATGTTTAAGTAACTGCTGGGAGATCTAAGTTAAGTCAACACAGTTCTGAGGCTAACGTTAGACAACACTATCGCCATTTCAAGCTAGCGGGGTAGTTTTGGTTTCTTACCGTTTTGTTTGTCGCTACGGATGTCTAACCTTTCCCAAGAAGAACGTAACGTTACTCATTAAATCTTAAAGGAATTAAACACGTCTAAATATAATCAAATTGGTACAGTTAAGTGCAAGTATTACACATTATATAGCTATCATGCATCTCAAGTGTTGATACGAGAGAGGCGCCTCCTCTCTTTTTCCGCTGCCTGCCCTCTAAAGAGGAAGTACCAAATCTCAGGCGGAAGTGACGTCGCAACACCAATGGGGGTGAATGTTTACCATTCTCAACAGTTGTTTTACTGTAAATGTGTTGTATGTATTTACATCTTTCATCATGCCTCATTTTATATACTTTTTTATTGTTACTTATACTATACATTTGTTTTTTGTACTTCCTTTTGCTTCGGTGAGACTTGAGTGGTATCAATACATTTAGTCTTAATGTAATCTAATATTTAATGTAGAATGCATATCATAAATTAATTATGCATGTTGAATATGTATTGATTTATACGTATATGAAATAGAAAACTTTTAAAAATACTAAAATCATGTCCAATCCTGTCCTCAGATCTCTTTTGTCACTGTGGTATGCGCATATTGGAAAATATTACAGTCAAAGGTGATACTTATATTTTCACAATACTGTGTTGCCCCTCCCACTGTCTTTGAGCTGCTTTGGCAAACCTTAGCAGTCAATTGTCTGACATGGGAGGGTCGCCAGCCGACCGTCATTTTTTTTTGCATTTGCACCTTTAAGTCCACAGCACACACATCCATGCTCTGCTGTCATCGCTGTACCCACTCAATTTGTTGGTTTTGTTAACCTTAGTTTAATCAATTATATTTGTTTTAAAGTAAATTGCTTGCTTTGACATGTCACATTATTTGAGCCAGTTTTTCCACAATGCTAAATTCACTCCCATTTTCATGAACATAATATCTAAATACGACATATTCAGATAACTTCTGGCGAGAATTTTTTTTCAGATGCAACTTTCACATGTATTTGGCATATTTGGGATAGTATAAAAACATGTCTGGGTGTGTTAACGGTGAATGCACAGGTCAATGTCATCAGTTTTTTGTTTCTGGAGGTGGCCCCTCAGTGACTGTGGGTGGTGCGTTTATTTGGAGCCATTCAAAGGCTGCGATTGACATGAGACAAGTCGTCCCTCTGCTTCACCAGTGAACGGGAAACCACGTCTGGATCTCGGGAAATATATATATAAAAAAAAACATCAGCTTGAGTCATGTCCTAAGACGGACTTCCATAAATGTCAGGATGCTCTTCACTTGAAGGACACAGAGGCTGCGCCGATTGAGAACTTCTCTCCGTGTCTGTAACTGGCTGAAACTATGTTCCCAGATATTTTGTGTGTGCTATTATTAAGCACTATGCACATCGCATCATCTTTGGAGCTGCAACTTGGCATGTAAGTGACGCTTTTTGATTTATATAATTTCCAGTTTTTAATTTGACTTGCACTTAACTTGTATTGAATGGTCAGGTGAGTGAGAGTTTTACGCATTATTGCTTTAAACTAAGACGGAAGCAACGCGTCATAGCCTGCTTTTTTCCTTTAATTTCATTTACAAAGACAGTTCTATACATTGTCCACGTTTTGCAAATTATTTAACTTGTCTGTAATTCTGTTACTTTATTGTTTACTCTCCTCAATGCCCACTAGGCGTCGCTCTTTCAAGTCCCCTATGAGGATGGACATGTTTCTATTGTAACGTGATTCTGCCAAATAACTTCCAATGGGTTGTGCTTTTTCTTTGTAGTGCTCCAACAGAGGTTTCCCAATATAAATAGACTGTGCTAGACATGATTAAATGAATCGTTTTCATTACAGGAGAAACAGTAGACTTCCTCTAATTAACTTCAGGCTGCTGTGTATTGAAGCCAGATGGTTTGTGGAGGAGGACATCTCTTGATAGTTTAGGATACCTGCACTGACAATGCAGTTGGATGAAGTCTGCTTCTGACAGAGTACTGTACAGTACAAACCTCTGTGCTGTGTAATGAACTTGCACACATCAGTAGGCTACATGCATTCAGGCACATGAACATGCAAACAATTCTGGAGGAAAAAATTGATTTCCTGTGGAAGTTAATTGGTTGTTTATGGGGTGCTGTTAGGGTCCTGTAGACTGTTCTTTTTTTTCTGGACCTTAATCAAGCACATTGCACCAAACAGGAAGCTGTATAATTGTTTGACAAACAATGTGTCTGTGATGAGCTGAAGTCCATGCAACTGAACATGTGTAGAACATGTGGGGGTTCATGTTTGTTGGCACACATACAGCAGGCTCACATCAATATTGGAAGCTTTACAGCCCACCTCTAAACTCAGTCAACTTGTACCCACCTCAAAAATATACTGTATAAAACAATGGAAAATGAAGTAGCCAATACTCACATGCTGCTTTTGAACTTTACAACACTATATCATGTTTTTTTATTTCTTCAATTATAAGTCTAACACAATTTTAATTACATCTGTCCACCTCATTGTCGTTTGCATTACACTCAAAGGCATTAAATACATTTTCACAATATTGTGACGCCCCTCCCACTGTTTTGGCAAACCTCAGCAGTCAATTGTCCGACATGGGACAGTTGTCAGACGAGGGTCACCTTTTGCACCTTTACCTCCACAGCACATGCTCTGATGTCATTGCTTAACCTTAGTTTAATAAATTATATTTGTTTTAAGTAAATCGCTTGCTTGGTCACATTACTTGAACCCGTTTGTCAATGCATTCTCTTTTTTCCCCCCCATGCACAGGCCAAATGTTTGTGCTGACCAGGAGATGTCCATGCTGGGGGCCCGTCAGCCTTGTGTCCAGGCCTTTTCCCGCATGGTTAAGGTGTGGAAGCAGGGCTGCACCAACCACAGATGGTGTATGAAATATGAGAGAAGGTGAGAGCAAACATACTTTTTCAAACGCACAAACACTTTGTTAGTGATCTTTGCTATTCCATGACGACATCTCACTCATCAGCACAGCTGGAGTGGACTAAGTCTTGATGGAGTGTTTTACACATACACATTACTTAATAAATAGTTAATATAAACATATATTGTAACTTCCAGAAAATCCTGTGACTATAACAGATCTTCTCTTTTTTCAGGACAGCTTACTACACAGTGTACCGGCAGGTGTACAGCGCAGATTTGCACACAGTTTATAAGTGCTGCCCTGGCTGGACTCAGGAGGGTGAAGACATGGGCTGTCTGCATAGTAAGTAATAGCATTATGAACATGCTGCATGTCACATAGGGCTAGTTTTGATATTGCTATGAAGCAGTTGTGTATTCATCAATTTTATATTCAGTACAGTAATTGAACTGGAAACACTAGGCTGGAATGTAGCTGACCAGAGATCTCCATCATCCATATATGGATACATTGGTGTATGATATGTGGTATATCCGCAGGGGTTTGTGGCGTCAACACATGTTTCAATGGAGGCCAATGTGTAAAGACCGAAGACTGGATATGTCAATGTCCACTGGGCTTCAAAGGGACGCGATGCCAATATGGTGAGTTAATTCCTACCTGATTAAAAAAGTTGGTCATGTTTATAAACCTTCATACTCCACTCCTCGCATTGCAGCCGTTCATAGTCGTAACAAACTGAGTGCAGCTTTGTGACAGAATGAACTGACTTACATCCTTATAGGACAAGATGTTGTTAAAGCTTTAATAGGCCCAGTTCAGACCTTATGCTTTCACTTTGCAATAGCAGAATGAGCCTGTAGTGTTGCCGTGATTGGATGAGGCTGCTCTGTGGGGTCTCTGGGTAGTTAAAGGTAGAAGAAGTGCTTTCTGGGAGAAATGGTTTCCTTTGAAGGCTTGAGCCTGGATTGCTGTAGCTAACCCAGCTGAGCCTCCACTCTATAAAAATGGTATGCTAATGACAGTATATGCGGTTCTGGTTTAGTCTGGTTAAGACATTTAAAAGGTTAGATTGCATTTTGTCACACATGATGGCAATATTTCAATTGATAAAGAGTTACCCAACATTTCTTGGATTTCTCAAATTAGTTTTATTGTCATTATAAGCAACTTAAAGGGATTGTTTTGAGAATAGGGAAATACACTTATTGACATTCAGGTGGAGAGTTAGATGAAAAGACTGATACGACTCTCACATCTGTACAGTAAATATGAGGCCAAAGCCAGCAGCTGGTTAGCTTATCTTAGCATAAAGACTGGAAACAGGAGGAAACAGCTAGCCTGGCTCCTCCGAACAGTAGCAAAATCCACCTACCAGCACCCCTAAATCTAACTAATTAACACTGTATAGCTCAATGACAATTTGCTGTTTTACGAGGGGCTATGTGCCAGACTGTTTCTTGCATGGAAGCAGTAAATCCTGGAGTCTCCATTAGTTGACTGGTAACTGCTAAGAGGATTTAAAAAATGACGGGACATTTCTGTGTTGAAGAATTTGAGGACATCAATGAGAACAGAAAAACAATTTGTACATTATTGCCCCAAAACCTCAGGCTTCTAAATATGTTCATTTTACTAACTGAACGGCCTTGAGCCTCAGAGAGGGAACCTTGTGTCTGTCCTCATTAAAAGGTAAACACTTCCAGAAGGTTTCCACAAAACCCGATGATCCCTCTGGTCTCTGAGCATTATCTCGTCACCGTCACGTCTGTTCTTTCTACTGTCCAAACTCCTGCGGTCTACATCAACGCGCAAACAGGAGGATGGTTGTTAATGTTTCAGAGGAGTCCCGCTGAGACAGAATGGTGACCAGAGGATATTTGGTTCCAACCCCCCACATGCTTACAAACACACACACACTGGAGAGGGTCTCCTGTTTGATTCCTTCTCTTTCCTATAGAAGAAAGGACCTGCCTGCCAGGGGTGTTAAGCAGTTCTTCCTCTTTCACAGGAACGTGTTGTTGTTTGTCAAAGGCAGCTCTCCTTTGCATTTGTTTTGACATGGGCTCTTTGGTTTTCACACATTGGAGTGGCAAA